TTATGTTATATTTACTTTTTGCATGTCTATATATATATATACACATACTAGAATAAACTACTACTTACTACTACTTGTACTACTATTCCTATTTCGCAGTATTTCACTTACTGCAGGTCTTCAGGGTACGGATCCCCTGCGATAAAAGAGGGACTACTGTGCTGTGCAAAAGTCTTGAACCGTTGCTTCAGATTTTTATTTCCAAGCAGCCAGACTGAAAATCATTAAAAAAAAATTTGTTCCCATCTCTTTAATCATTCTTTTTAAAAAGACTGACAGGCATAAAATGGTGTTTTATCTCCAAAAAGATGATTCTGAGCTGAAAATATTATCTGGAAACCTTGAATCGATATGGGCTTTATTCAAATTAATCAAGAGTAACTAAAAGCTGAATTCTGAATAGAAATGTTGCCGTTTATTTTCTACTTTAGATCAAATTACTCCACAAAGTGTCGGTAGATCCATCCGGTTGGATCACATCTGGATAAAAAGATCCAGTCGCAAGTCCAACGACAAGAGGAGTTAAGAACGTCTCATTTGGACGTGAACTTTCCCTCTAAAAAGACAAAAACAAATGAGGACATTTGTTGTTTATTCTAACTATAAACTTTTATTACGTTTATGTTTTACAGATACATTTTAAAGGGGAGCTGGGAACGCTGGATTTAGTTCTTTTTTATTTGATCTTTTAGCAACAGAAACACAAACTGTCTCTAAGTCAATGACAAACTTGGACAGAGTTGAGACATGTTTAGTTTCCTGCATCATGTGATTAAATATTAATGACATCCTGGTTGTAGGAAATGGCGGCCTTCGTTTACGGGGTGTGTCTACCTGCTGAGGCGACTCCCGGCCAGCCGGCCGCTCTCTGCGGATCAGACCATTCTTCTTCTTCCAGGTTTCACCGACGTCTTCCTCGGCTTCAGCCTGCAGGCAGAAAACAAACAGCGTTAAAGACTTCCTGATGCTCCATATGATGCATGCTCAAGACGTTACAGACCGCTGTCCAGGACGGGCTGCTTCAAGTTTAGTCTGAAAAATTCATCCGTTTCTGATGGTTGTCATTAAATGTTAGTTACGTCACAATCCCATTTTAAATGTCAGCTGCTGTGTCCTGCTTATAATAATAATTAATAAGAAACTTTCTCAACAATAATTCAAGTAAATAAACTCAAACTTGTTTAGAAACTTAAGATCATGTGAGTTGTATTTTCTTTGAACGTGGAGTTTATTTTGTGTCTACGCATGAGAGGAGCCTTTTATTGTTTCACTGTGGACAAAAGTGAATAAAAAATTAGGAGAGCTTGAAGTCGCCACAGTGATGAAGGTGAGAGGCGCTTTTGTCGTTTCACTTTAAGCAACAATAAAAATAAATGAAACGTTAAAACAATGGCTGACAGAAAGGTGGACTCATTTGAAACCAGGACTGAAACTCAGTCTTTTCTTATGTTTGTCCCTAAAAATAAATCTTGTATCGACTAACGCTGTCTCAGAAAACATGAAACTATCATAAACTTTAACTCAGCACCCCTGAAAAAACAAGAAACCAGATTTAGGATTTAAACTTAGCATTTTAAAGAAGCTCAGTTTCAATCTTAGATTCACCAAAATATTGAATAAGTTTGGAATAAATATGGAATAAATTATGACACTTAATCGGGCCAGTAAAATCTATGATTTATTTATTTTTTGCACAAGTCAGATGCTTGATGCCACCTGTCAATCAATCCAACAGGCTCGTCAGCAACTGCCCAATCATTGATCTCAATTTGTCCCTGAGTGAAACGCCCCTTACCTGCAGGAGCTGCAGCCTCCGACAACATTGTCAGGGTTTTGCGTAATGAACGCTTTTCATTCAGAGGGATTTCATGACGAATCATCAGACAAATGGTTAAACGTTGTCAGCGGAGAACGAGTAATTCAGACAGCATTAGTCTGAGCGTTTAGAGGGTGGAATACAGTTTATTACATTTCAAAAACTAAACGGAGCCTGAATAAATGTAAAAGATGAAAAAGTCCTGCGGCCGACCTCATGATCAGCTGAATACAACAGTTATAAACAGGAAGTAGTAGTCCCTCGTTTATCGCTGGGGATCCGTACCCTGAAGACCCGTGATAAGTGAAAAACCACGAAGTAGGAATAGTAGTACAAGTAGTAAGTAGTAATTTATTTTAGTATTTTTACACATATATACATATATATATATACATGTATATATATGTATATATATATGTATGCATATATATATATATATATATATATGTGTGTGTGTGTGTGTGTTTTAAAGCCTTCCCACACTCTTGCAGTATTCTAAACAATGTTTCTAAACTCTAAAGCTCTAAAAGAGCACAGCATGTCATGATTTCAGCTCTCTGTCTCCGCTGCTCTCAGCCACCTGCAAGTGCTCTTGGCCACGCCCACTTCACCGCTCTGCATGGATCAGCTGATCAGCTGCAGCAGAAAGTTTATCCTGGAGTATGGGCTGCACAAAGGTGCTAAATAATTTAAAATAATTTATTTTAAATAAAAATTCCATGCCGATCGTGCGGCTCATCCATCAATCAGCCAATTGTGTCATGTCCAATCTTGTTTTGAAAAACTGCGACAGAGCGAGTCTGTGATAAATGAACCGCGATGTAGCGAGGGACCACTGTACCACATGTTCATCTGTACCAAGGTAACTGCAGGTAAATCCTCCATTTTATTTTATTTTTTGTCATAATTACATTTTGTGTTTAAAGGTTAAATTAAAGGTTAAAGCTAGTTGTGTTTTATTTTGTGTTTTGTATGTAGATATATGTTGCAACTTCTGCTTGCATAAGTTCAGTCTTTGATTGCTATGATCCTTTAAAAGTCCTATTTGTGACTTTGATGGTTCTTGTTATGTTTGGGCTCTGCTCGTCCCTCTTGACACATTTCACGAGTTTCTTTAGACGTTTTAGACTCTTACTCAGATCTGGCGTCTTTTACAAACATGGTTGTGTTTTTTGTCTTTTTGACAACCTGAATCTGTGAACGGCTTCAAAAAAAAAATTTCGAGGTCAATTTTAACCATTTAATTTCCCCCAAATGAGAGAATAAATGCTTTTTTTTTTTCTGCTTATCATGCCTATTTGCTTGTAAGATTTGAAGTCTTTTGTGTATTCTGTGCAGCACTTTACAAAACTTTGCTTCTACAAGAAAGCGACTAACAAGTATTCTGAGAAGGAGGCGACCGTGCCGGAGATAAGGCTGAGGAGGAATCTGAACAAAGACGCCAGTGTTGTCTCCTGGACAGAGCAGAGCGTCACGTTTCATCAGCTCCTAATCTACAGAAGACTGGAGAGACGCGAGGGCCCTGTGACAGGCTGCGGTGAATTCCAGCAGAAGTGAGGGACCAACAGACGTCTGTGTGTTTGAACAGCAGATTGTTTCTGAAGCAGCATCGGACGCCCAGCTTTGAATTTTACAGTTGGATCACATGGACGATGTTTACTTTCTGTTTTTAGCCCAGAAAACACACGTAGGGTGTCAGTGGACGAGACACAGAGTTTCTATTGTTCTGGAGGATCATCTCAATGACATGAACACATAAAAACAGCTTAATAACAACTCTGTGACTCAAGGGACGGTTCAGATCTTTTGAAGGGGAGTTCGGTGGAAAGCTTTTTGAACAACCTCTTTTTGAAGAAATGGTTTAATTCTGACTGGAATCATGAACTAATGGCTGGTCTGAATGGAACTGAGACTAAAACAACTTCAAACATGTTCCTACAAACAGTACCGTATTTTCCGCCGTACATGTCGCGTCTGTGCAAATATGTCTAATAAAGTAGAAAAATCCTTAAATACGTTGCTTCACCGTATAAGTCACATCTATTATGCATTACCGCTGATGCATCACGTTTGGTACGTGTCACCAGTGGCAACCTGGAAATGTGGGTCGGTGTTGTGCCAATCGATTGGCTGCCAAATGGCGGCTGCGGGAGCGTGCACGGGAGGACTTTAACAAGAACCTAACAAGATAATCACTTAAAAACAATTATTTGTTTGCTCAAAATTATAGCAAAGTTGAACTTTTCCTTAATAAATGCACTTTGACGGTCAAATCAGCTGCATTTCAAAAGCCGATACGCCGAAGTAGGAACGTGCACGAAAGGTCTCGCTGTGCACTTCTTCTGAATTGAACAAGAAAACTACCTAAAAACAATTATTTGTTTGCTCGAAATTACAGTAAAGGTGTGTCTCAGTTGAACTTTTACTTAATAAATGCACTTCAATGGTCAGATTAGCTGCATTTTGTCAGGGCGACGCTGCAAAATGAAGCTGATTTGACGGTTGCTCCAAGCGAACTGGATGAAGGTGGCAGGCTATGGCAAGCCAATTGTGCCATTAATAGCCACTTTTACCTATTACATGACACAACAGCATGCCATACTACTCGAGTGCCCTCTAGCGGCTGAAAATGGTAGTGTTCAATATTTTCAGTCCGAATGAATGAAAACGGTCATATCTCAGTCAAAAACTGGTTTATAAATATGGGGAAAATTCATAAATACGTCGCTTCAGCGTTTAAGTAGTAAAGCATGCAAATAATGCAAAAATGCGACGTAAAAAACAATACTTAACATAGCTGTCAGTTTCACATTGCGTGGTTGTTCCAGAAGGAATTCCAGTGCTGGATGTGCTACAGCTATTGCTGCTACCGCTATTTTTCCTGCAATTAACCACAGAAATCCATGTAAACATTAGTCTAATAAAGAAGCGTCCAACAGCAGGCATACCTCCTAGATTTGCTATGGTTGAGCCATGCACAAAAGTTTTAGTGCGCACAACAGCAACCCATGCTTACAAGGCAGCTCTGCTACTTTTATGTTCAACCCTTTAACGTGTTTTTAATTAATCCCTAATACGTCACTGAGGATGCCATGAATGGTCAGAATGCTTCAGAGTTTTGAAGAGGTAATAATCGTGTAGGAAATGGCATTTCCATATGCATGAACCAAACAAACATAAAAGGACACATTGACTGCAGGTGGGAGAGATTAGAGTCGTTTAATAACAACAGTAATCCACGTTGGTCCTGATCCATCTCAGACCAGCCAGAAGTTCATCAGTCCAGTCAGAACTAACCTCCCTTTTTCCACATTTACGCCGTTCAAAGAGTTGTCTACAACAGGTAAGATATTAATTGTTTATTATGTTTCCACTGAGCCCGTTGTAAAAGATCTGAACCATCTTTTTAATAATTTTTTATCTGCCTGCTTTATAAAACTGAACTAAGATCCCGGTTTCTGAAACAGGAACGTTGTGTGTCTTTACAAAGAGCATCTCGAGCAGCTCATCAGGCTGAATCTGTTCTGTCAGTCAGAAAACCCAACGCAGCAGGTTTTACCACATTGTTCTGCAGCTACTCAGCCTTTGTGTCGTCCAGTGTGTGTGTGTGTGTGTGTGTGTGTGTGTGTGTTACAGTGCTGATGCATTACATATTATGTAGGACAAAGTAACCGCTGGATTGTGTTCACGGTGAGTCAGGTTGCAGGACGCACCCTTTCTAATTTTATAATTAAGAACTCCTTTAACATCACGTTGACTGAAACATCTCCAACACTAAACACGTTGCTCGTTGCATTTCTCTTGATTAACTTATTACAAGCCCAGGGCCACATTCTGCCCCACAGGAGACCATCAATAAATACTGTACTGGGATATGAAGGACTGCAGTCTGAAGACTACAAGTTTGTTGCCCTCAGAGTTCAGAGTAAAGAACATCTTAAAAAGATTAATTTATAGCTTCTTGAACACTAATTTCAGTAAAAAAATCTCCCAAAGGGTTTCAGTTGTATAAATATTCCATCCCGTCACCGTTTCACACATCATATTTCATCAGCTTGTTCAATAAATTCAGATTTAGTTCATCTGAATAAGGATGATAAGCCAAGACCACAAAAAATACCTGAAGGAAAGCACAATGGTGCCATCGCCTTGTTTTAAAATAGCATTTATTGGATATAAAATTGTGTTTTTTTTAACCCATCTAATACCTTTGTAATTAAATTTTTAAGACAGCTCTCAGGGCCTCGTTTTAAATTGAATTTTAACCTCATTTGATAAAAATAAGATTAAACTCTGAGTCAAAATGTTTTCAAACTAGGTGCAGCGACGACACGAACGAGGATGGAGTCCTCATCAGCGTTCATCTCCTGAACGCAGCTTTGACTCAGAACTTTTGTTACCACCCTATAAGTCACATCAGTCCAAATATGTCTAATAAAGTGGGGAAAAAACATAAATATGTCGCTTCGCCGTATAAGTCGCATCTATCATGTGTCACTGGAAATGTGAGCCGGTGTTGTGCCAAAAATCGATTGGCTGCTAAATGGCGGCCGCAGGAGCGTGCACGGGAGGATAACACTTGAAAATAATTATTTATTTGCTCGAAATAATAGAAAAGGTGTGTCTCAGTTTAACTTTTCTTTAATAAATGCACTTTGACGGTCAAATTAGCTGCATTTTAAAAGCCAATTTGCAGAAGCGGGAGCGCGCAGAGAGATGACTCGCTGTGCATTTCTTCTAAATTTACCAAAATAACCACCAAAAAACAATTATTTGTTTGCTCGACATTATAGTAAAAGTGTGTCTCCGTTGAACTTTTCCTTTAAAAATGCACTTTAACAGTCAAATCAGCTGCATCTCACCTGAACGGCGCGGTGAAATGCAGAATCAGAATAAGCTTTATAATCACTGCACCGAGATTCTAAAAAGATCTGATGAAAGAGCTCTTACTGAGTTTTTCTGGTAACATCTGGCTGTCGGAGCCTCATATCTTTATTAACAATCTTATCAAGTTCTTTTCATCTGAGCGTAAACAAAGATTACGCTCAGAAACCAAACGTGTGTCCAAAAATATGCAGCCGTGACAAAATCTACAGCCCAAAACCAAAAAAACCTTTCAAACAGCTGATTTGATGTTTGCTCCAGTACACCTGAGCGAGATGAAGGTGGCTCGGTATGGCAAGCCAAGTGTCTCATTAATAGCTACTTTTAGCTATTAATGAGACACTTAGTTTGCCATTTTAGTCGAGTGCCCTCTAGCAGCTGAAAATAATGTTCAGTATTTTCAGTCAGAATGAATTAAATCATCAGATCCAAAAATCGGTTTATAAATATGGGAAAAAACATAAATATGTCGCTTCACTGCATAAGTCGCAGGCATGCTAATTTATGAGAAAAAAACGGCAACTTATGCAGCAAAAATTACGGTATTTTATAACTATAATTTTGTTTTATTATTATCATTTATAAAACAAACGCAACTTTACTTTTTGAGGCCAAGTGGGGTCACAACAGCACAACTAAGCCATTTAATAAATTAATTTTTGAAGGTTTTTTTTGGTTTTGGGCTGTAGATTTTGTCACGGCTGCATATTTTTGGACACACGTTTGTTTTCTGAGCGTAATCTTTGTTTACGCTCAGATGAAAAGTACTTGATAAGATTGTTAATAAAGATATGAGGCTCCGACAGCCAGATGTTACCAGAAAAACTCAAACAGAGCTCTTTCATCAGATCGTTTTAGAATCCAAGAAACTTTTCCCACAATCAGCGTCTTCATCACCTCTGACTCGTAATCTAATTTGTTGCTCTCCCATCGAGAGAGCGGATCATTTAAACACAAATCATATCTCCATCCTGTGATACAATTTTATAAATCATGTTTAGTTCATGTATTTGATGGCACCAGCCATGAATGTTTTTTTGTTCCTGCATTGCCCGTTTTTTAAAATCTAGAATTGTGATTTGAACGCGTCAGACGTGCAGCATCTTCCTTCACAGCTGTAAAACCAACAGTCGAACATCCTTCGGCGTCAGCGCCTCTGGTCTTCTTTTCATTAAATAAAAACATATTTATTGATTCTTGACGCTCCCTTGTACGCCCTGACTCCACCTGAAGTGCTCCGAGTGTTTGTTGAAGCTAATGTTTTGCTTTCAGAGCTGCTGGCGTCTGTAGAGTCGACTGAACGCCTGCAGAGTTGCGTCATCTCAAACACACCGAAGAACACATCTGCAGCAGATGTTTCCCTCCACTCCGTTTCCTCCTGTCTTTTTTATCAGCACGCTGAGGAATCAAGGGAGTAAAGAGATCCTTCATACACTAATGGGGCAGAGGCACTTAATAAGTTTGTATATTTTGTGTTTCATTGTTTTCATCTTGGAAATAATAAGATTTCACCACAAAACAACAACAAACATTCACAACTGCAGTCATTTCCAAATCACAACTTGTTTCCAGTGAGAGGAGAAACCGCAGACAAAGACAAGAAGAGTCAAACTCCTCCCAGTAAGGCCACAGCAGACATCTGTAGTGGAAATCTTTCCACGGTGAGGCAATGGTGCAAAAAAACACCAAGTCACTGCACAAAGGAGCCAAAGTCCAGGACAAGCGTGTCCCTCCAGCCGCTGGAGTCAAACCTCACAATCAGTGACAGATTCTCTGCTCTGTGTCATTTAACAGACAAACGTTGAACCCCTGGTATCAGACCTTTACAGCGGTTATTAACTGGAAGGCTGCAGGTCATATAGAGCCTGTGAGCTCATTCGTTTTGTCGTTAGAATTAATAAATTAAAAATAAAACAGATACAATCTGACCAAATAAATAGTTTGTTTGCTCTTAGCACACAGCAGCAGGAAAACCTGCAGCTGAGCTCATCAAGGGTCAACAACATGGCAACACCGTTGATTTATGGCAGCAGAAATTCAAACAAATAAAGCCACCAAAGATAACCAAGCAAAGGCCACGCACGCACGCACACAGTGTCTGGACAAAAACTGAAACCCTGGAGCAGGTTTTGTTGAAGAGCCCTGATTTAAAGCTTAATGTGGTCACATCTTATCAGAGAAACCACAGAAAATACATAAACTGTACCGTGTCTTTCCGACTATAAGGCGCACTTAAAACCCTTTCATCTTCTCAAAAATCGACAGTGAGCCTTATACTCCGGTGCACTTTATTAATTCTGGTTGTGCTCACTGACGTCGAACCAACTTTATGAACGATGTTGAAAGTTACTGTGAATGAGTTGAATAAAGTTTGACTTATAGTCCGAAAAATACGGTAGTCAGAAAGGCCTTATCTGAGACTTGAACCTTCCAGATGTTTGAAACTTCCACATTTTATTTCTTTGTACTTCAGAGGAAGTTTAGAGAAAGTTGTCAAATTTGAGAGTTGTAATCAACGATTTTTGACCGTTAAAACTAAATGCAGGTCAAGAGTGACCACCTGAAGGATCATTTTTGAACTTTTCTGAGAACTGTCAGTCCTGGGACTGACATAAAACCCTGTGAGTCAGAATGTGAGCCGTGCCCTGCCTAAAGGAGCAACCACCGAAGATCCGTCCGGTGTGCTATCAGCGCGGTGAGGAGGCGTGGTGCCCAGATGACCACCTCACTCCCTCACCAACGTTCATTTGAAGACTTGTCAGAGCTCTGCTGCATGAGTGAAGAAAGTCTACGGAAGAGGAATGATGATGATGATAATAATAATAATAAAGGAAGAGACGTCTCAGTTCACACACTCACTAAAAAACTTTGAGGGCCAAGTTCTCCGAGCAAACAAAGACTGTGAAGGAGCCACCTACAGCAAACAGCCACACAGCCTGGAGCTTTGTCAGAACCGAGACCGTCCCAGTCAGAACCGAGACCGTCCCTGTCAGAACCGAGACCGTCCCAGTCAGAACCGAGACCGTCCCAGTCAGAACCGAGCTCTGCGTTATTACAGGCAGGTTTATGAGTCTTCATGTTTGAGTTGATTCTGTTTCAGTTCAGCTGTCGTAAGTCTGAACATTTCTGTTTTTCCAGGTCTGAGATCAGATTTAACATAAATGTGAAACAGCTGTGTGAGCGTAATATCACACACACACACACACACACACACACACACACACACACACACACACACACACACACACACACACACAGATGATGAAAAGACATAAATCTCAGCGGCTCCACCTTCTTGTGATCACTTTCTGTGAGTTGTTCGACACAGATTCGCTTCTTCGGGAGATTTAAAGTTTAAAATAAATGAAATAACTTGAAGTTTTCTGAACAGGCCGGAGGTGCACGCAGGCTCAGCGCGGACTCACCGTGTCTGCAGCTTCTGCCTCCTTGGTGCCATTATTCCCTGCAGGAAAAGTCAACCTGAGACGTCTGATCCTTCTCTATAATTAGAAAAAAGACAAAGTTTAAAAAAGTTTAAACACATTTAGATGCGGTCATCATCCGAAAAGTTTGTTTTTTACTAAATGTCCTGGAAGGTGAGACATAATCATTCACATCCTCCATCAGTGCAGTTTATTGGTAGACAGTAAACGGTAAACAAAGATTATTTAAATCCTCTACAACTGTAAAACAGCAACATGTTGTATTTCCAGTTCAGTGAATTATTGGATCATCGTGAAGTTTGAAATGAAACATTTTGTGCAGAGTTGAGACGTGAAAGGAGCAGAACAAAGGCCTGTTTTCTCAGAGAGCTCTTCAAATAAACATGACATCCTGACTCCTGCCCACTCCTCTCTGGTTACACGCGTGTGCACGTGAGCAGATTGACACATCTCACTGCCATAAACCATAAACCCAGCAGCTCTGGGGTCAGAAACATGTTGGAGGAGATGGTTTCAGTGCAGGGGAGTGACGGACAAACAAAAGGAGGAGAGAAAAACAGAGGAGTTGGAGAGCTGGAGGGAGAGGTCCTCGCTTCTCTGGGACTTCTTACCTCAGAGTCTTCAGGGTCCTCGGTGGTGGTGGTGGAAACAGCTCGCCTTGAACCGTAGCGACGCATGGCTCCTCTTCTGTCCGCTCCTCACCCGTCTCCCTCTGCCTCTCCAGCCCTCCTCCCACTCTTCCTCTCACTCTCCTTCCTGAGTTCTGCTCAGGCTCTCAGACCGACCATCTGCACCCCACCACCTCCACCACACCAGCTCCAGTCAGGGAAGAGGAGGGAAATTCCACTCTGTCAGCCGTCTAGTGCAGGTCCACAGGGGCCCCTGAGGTACTGAGGTCCCCTGACTCTTTGTGAGTGAGCCTAGGTGTAGTCCAGTCCCACCCTCAGCAGGATGAACTCATCTGTGTCTGACTGTGAAATCCTCCCAGCTGACGGGCTCGTCAGTCACCTCCCTGCCTCTCTGCGTTCCCACCAGACCTGTCGGGCCACATTTCACCTGAGAGCTGGACTTTCACAGGGCGGGCCCTCTGACTGGGGCCGGGCCAGGTGGAGTCCTGCTTATCAGGCAGGAGGGGCCGGCGGCCACAAACAGCTTAATCATTCACAAAACTCATTTCTGTGCCCGAATAAAGACGAGAGGTTTGTAGTTTACCTGTTGTTGATCAGTAAGTGGACGTTTTGTTTTTCAGATAAAACTGTAGAAGATAAACACACAAAGAAAATTACAATTTACTGTTCCAACTTATATTCAATTCAGTTTATTTATATAGTGCCAAGTGACAACAGAATTAATCAGAGTACTGTACGGAAACATTCATATACATAAAAAGTAACCTAACTTTTAATGCACATGTGGTCAAAACGTCTTTAAATAGCCTGTTTGGGATGGGATCTAGCAGACGTGTAGATGGTTTGGATGAAGCTATTATTTTTGACAATTCAGAGAGCTCAACAGGACAAAAGCATAAATCAGGTTCTAGTGACATTTTTTAAGTTGTCTCATCTGACACAGAACCAGAGGCGATAGTAGGAAGGTTGGTTTGAATTTTTTTCCCTGATTGAAATAATTTTATTTATAAAGAATCTCATGAAATCATCACTGCTTAAAGTTATAGGGATACATGAATCAACAGACAGGATTTTTCATTAGACTAGCTATGGTACTGAAAAGGAACCTGTGGTTATTTTTATTCTCATCCATTTAAAATGAATAACATGAAGTTCTAGCTTTACGGAGCACTTTTTTATACGTTAGCAGGCTATCTCTCCAAGATAAGTAAAATTCTTCAACGTTAGTGGAGCACCATTGTCGTTCCAGCTTCCTACATGTCTGTTTTAAAGTACGTAACTCAGAACTGAACCAAGGAGTCAGTCTCCTCTGATTGATTACTTTCTTTTTCAACTGAACAGTTTTATGGAGAGAAGTTTGCAAAGAATATGTAAATTTATCAACCAGATGATCTCAGTCACTGCTCTCTGATGTATTACTCTGCAAGACAGAGGAAAACGATGGAAAATAATCTGTAAAATTGGTTACAGTGTTTTCTGATAAACACCTGCTGAGATGAAATTTACCCTCAGTGACTGTGTAGTCATTTAATGTAAACTCAAAGGTTATTAAAAAATGATCAGACAGGACAGGATTTTGAGGAAATATTACTAAATTATTAATCCCGATGCCATAAGTCAGAACCAGGTCAAGAGTGTGATGATGAGAGTGAGTAGATGTTTGGACGTTTTGGGTAAAATCAATTGACTCTATTAAATTTTTAAAGGCAACATGTACATGAATATTAAAATCACACATTATTATGACTTTATCTGATGGCAAATGGGAAACATTAAAAAACTTTACTACAAAATGTACCCAACTTTAAGTTTTAAATATAATTTTTAGATACAAACAACAAGACGGGTCAACATGCATAAATATAAGATCAATTAATAAGACCATGATAAAAACCATCGAAGAGCTGCCTTTTTATCAACGTTTGATTTCATCGTCACGTTTATTCATAAAGCACTTCTAAAACAGCAGCTGTTAAAGTGTTGAACATTGAAATGTAATTTAATGTTATGTTGCCAGCTGTCACTCAAATGATGCAAAGTGAACAGTTGCTATTGTGTTAGCTAATGTCGATTAGCTGTGGCAGCCATCTTGAATCAGGTTGGCTTCAAACCTTGAGTCTTAGACGTACATCGAACAAATTATTCTTGAAACTTTCATTAAATATTTTGCTAACACGACAATGGAAAAATAAAAACATTATCATCCGTCTTTTCAGCTGCAGGTGATAAAAATCACCTAAATATAAAACAAATAATTAACAACATTTAAAACTGATTGGTTTTGATACTTTGAATAGTTATATTCGCTCACAGATCTTTTAAACTGTATCAACATTAATGTTTTCTTTTCTCGTGCTCCACACTCAGGCGTCATGTTGCCTTCGGATCATAAATTATTGATGCTGCTGATAATGGATATTGATGACAGGGATCCCAGCGTAGCAGCCATCATTATTTAATGCACCAGCTACCAAACACTTCCCTCGTGTTTATGTGTTTACGTGGATTCGTCGTCTCGTTGGGGAAGTCAGACGACGTTTTCTCTCTGAGGCTGCAGTCACTTCCTGTTCTCAGAAACGACGGGCCGAGACGAGGAAGAGGGTGAAGATTTACCGTATTTTCCACCGTATACATCACACCACCCTATAAGTTGCATCAGTCCAAATATGTCTAATAAAGTGGGAAAAAAAAAACATAAATACGTCGCTTCGCCGAATACGTCGCATCTATTATGCGTCACCGCTGACAATCCGGAAATGTGGGCCGGTGTTGTGCCAAAAATCGATTGGCTGCCAAATGGCGGCCGTGGGAGCGTGCACGGGAGGACTTTAACAAGAATTTAACAAGATTAACACTTAAAAACAATTATTTGTTTGCTCGAAATTAGAGCAAAGGCGCGTCTCAGTCTAACTTTTGCTTAATAAATGCACTTTGACGGTCAAATCAGCTGCATTTCAAAAGCCGATACGTGGAAGTAGGAGCGTGCATGAGAGGACTCGCTGTGCATTTCTTTGAAATTTAACAAGATAATCACCTAATAACTAATATTATTTTGCTCAACTTTATAGTAAAGGTGTGTCTCAGTTGAACTTTTACTTAATAAATGCACTTCAATGTCGGTGCAGCGAAATGAATCTGATTTGCTCCAGGTGAGCTGGACAAAGGTGGCTTCTTGGGCAAGCCGATTGTGTCATTAACAGCCACTTTTACTATTACTGAGTACATGACACAACGGCATGCCATACTACTGGAGTGTCATCTAGTGGCTGAAAATGGTAGTGTTCCATATTTTTAGTCAGAATGAATGAAAACGGTCATATCTCAGCCAAAAATTGGTTTATAAAAATGGGAAAAAAAATCCATAAATAAGTTGCTTCGGCAGGGCATGCAAATTACGCAAAAAAAACGTGACGTATAGGCTGAAAAATCTGGTAAGCTGCAGAGCTCATTCAGATCTCTGCTGTCAGTTCTTCAGATCATTCAGGAGAAAATTCTCAGAGTAAAGAGCGGCCTCTCTGCAGGCCCGTGTGGTTAATGAGCAACTGAACGACAAACAAAATGTTTGTGCAGTCACTGATCCGCTCACCGGCATCATGGGGAGGCCCCTGTGGACATTTTCTCTCACGCTCTCATGTGGTTTGCACTTTCTGACATGCTTGCACTCTCACTCTCTGATAACATCTCAGTTTGGTTTGTTTCCTGCAGGAAGTTGAACTTCAACTCGAGCGTTGCCACCGAGCAGAGAAACTTCATGGACTGAGCAGCGTGAAACATTCTTTCTCAAATCTTTGTACTTTTACTGCACTGAGGTTCAAAGTAAACACCGAGCACTTCAACGACATAAAAACTGCTTATCTGGCAGCTTTAAGTCACTCTTCAGAGTAAGATAAAGTGTTTTATTCTTATATGGGCTCATGTTTTTTTTGTTGATTTGCAGCAACTCTTTGTCCTAAATGTCAGTTTTCTGATCAATTGGTTTTTAAATACTTCAAGTGCTGCAAAGAAACTAAAAAACATTGTTCCCGTCTCTTCATTAACATTGTTTTGTTTGATCAAGTCAATCAGCAGATAAATTCATTAAGATGTTGCTTTAAATAAACTGCATGGTGTTTGGAATAATTCACGTTTATCCGTTCACCGAGCAGATTTAAACTTCTGCTCAGTGCCAGTTTAACTGTATTTGTCGGCACACGAAGACTTAGAGAGAACAAATGATGCATTTATCTAAAAAATGTGGTTGTTTTTATTCTAAAATGGTTTAAATGTTTCAGATCGTGCTCCTGGCAGCTTGTGTTTGGGTCCTCACACACTTTTTACTTTGGCCTACGGATCGGTCTCGGTTCTGGAGGACAGAGATGAGGTCCAGGAGCTCCGTGTGTCCTGCCCCGTTTATTGTCTGAAGAGGTTTGAGCTGATCTCCTGTGCGTTTAGACACGATTCAGTTGTTGAATCTGAAAACTTCACTTTGTTTGCGCAGCCCTCCTGCAGCTTTGGACGCAAAAACAAAAAAACGTACAAAAATATTGTGTTAGGAAAATAAATCATTTAGTGTTCTTCATTTTTCTTTCAAATGTGCAGCAGGATTAAAAATGCACAATATTAAATAAACACATTTAGTCGTTGAAGGAAAAATGTTTTGTATGTATTTCGTGGAACTTCTTCACATAACACCACTTACAAGAACGTTATTAAATATGATTCATCTGTTACTTGTTCACAGTTTTTTTTTTTTTTTTTGTAAAGAACTTTTGTTTTTCATCTGTCCATATGTAGGTAAAAAAAAAAACTGTGTACAAACATATTCCCACCAGTTATTAAAAAAAACAAACTAGTACTGCTCTAACGCGATCAAAGAACCATTTTCAATAGAAAACTTCAGAACCAACATAAAAAGTCTTAGAAGTGTTGCAGATGATTAAAAGCCTTATTAACGAGTCATCTGGACTGATAACTATTATCCGTCTTGTTTCACTGATCAGCTGATAATCTCATTTAAAGCCGCTCCTCAGTTTGACGTAAATTTACTGATAATCATGGAGTTTGAACACTTTTGTTAACTGTTGAATGCTTGT